TTCCCCCGCCCCCCCCTCCGAGTCAAGAGGCACCAGACACCCATGATTACAAAGTTGTGGTGGCGTAAGAGTGATGTTGTATGTTGTAGCTGTGACGGTCCAGAAATGCGAGAGGCAAGGATTTATTAGGGTCATATCTCTTATTGAACCAACTGTATAGTTGGGATAGAGTTAAACAAGCTTTTGAATGTAAGACATTCTTCATGAGGTATGACCAGAAAAAGCCAAATACAAGACCTGCAAAATGTCTTGCATTCAAAACCTTGTCTAACTATCCCAACTATACAGTTGGTCCAATTGAAGATATCACCCCAAGAGATCTTTGCCTCTGACATTTATCACAAGTTATATTTGTCTGCTCTGCAACAGATGCAAAACTAACCAGCTGTCATATCCTTTGCAGTGGTGCTATTTATGTGCTGTATAAAGCTCTTACATCTACAAGAAAAATCAGTTAAAGATCAAATTTAATTCCAATTGAATTAAATACATTGCCTCATTGATACTATACTTTGTCATATTACTCATGCTCAGTCAAAATTATACCTTTAGATCTTATTGGAAAAAAGTCCACCTTTACAGCTGAGATTAACAGGAGTCAGATTTGAAGTCCTTTCATTTCTCAGTTTCTTCCTCAATGTTGAGCAGAACAGTTTGTAGTCAATAAAGATTATCAATTAGTGTAAATTATCATGGCCATTTATGTTAGCTCAGGATCTGTTCCGGTCTCTTATTTTTTCTTCTAGGAAATCACAACAACAGCTAATAAAAGTAGGAGGAGCTCATCTTGAGATAAAATTTGCTTCTGTATTCAAATACCTATGCATCTGTGTACCTGTTGGGGGAAGGGGAACATAGATGACTCTCTTCAGAAGAAATAGTTGTTTTTTTGTAACTTTAAAGATTAGACACAGAATAAAGTAATACTGAACACCTGTAAGCATTATACAGTGTTAATACTCAAATAACTAAGCAATAAAAAGGCTGAAAAAACACTGACATAAAATATTGTTTCTTAACCTTTTTGTGGTTTATTTGTGAAAACCCTAGGTTATTACAGAGGCAAGTCTCCCACCAGTGGCTTGCATATGCAGGGTGCAGTAAAGTATCCTCTCAGGTAGTGGTTCCCAAACTCCGACAGATTGTGCACCACCAATTAAAAATGATACAACCTTAAGTACCATCAGCAATTTTTTCAGTTTAACCTTAAGTACCACCAGCAATTTTTTGTCATATAAATTAATTATTATAAATCTGTTAATGTGTACCATTGACAGGTTGTCTGCGTACCACTGGTGGTACCCATACCGCAGATTGGGAACTGCTGCTCTCAGTAATGTAGTTAATAAACAATGGTAATATAAATTTCAAAACAAATATAAAGGAGAGAGACTAGAGAACAGGAAATGTAGAGTAGAAGGAAGATAAATTATCTGGATTTCATCTTTTCCTATTAGAAATCAAACACTCAATGGAAGTTGTAGCCAGTGCAGAGCCACAGCACATCAGTGGGAGCTTCAGGAACAATCTGCTTCAGTATATCTCCAGAGAATGCATGCAAACAGCTCTATATTTTTAAAGACTATACATAATTACACACAGAGATCCAGGAAGAATAAACTGCTCAATCAAACTACTTTTTGACCTGTGCCATTATCTTTAGTGTATGTGTACTCTGAGGGTGCATATAGATGTTTGCGGAGGTTAGATCATGTTAAAAATGGGCACCTTATGCAACTTAGTTCACCCAGGTGTGGACCTTACACTTAGATCCTTAGTTAGGTTGATCTAAGTGCAAAATGTACAGAAGTTCCAGGAACATTAGACTGGTCAAAAAAGCTGACCTGATCTAAGTTAACTCTGCCTCTGGGACAGTTTAATTTAGTTTTGGTTGGCCATTTTTAGACTAATCTAAATGTCCCAAACTTTTATACTTTCCCAGCACAGTCCCAGAGCTGGGAAAGTCTAGCCACTGGTCCCAGGCTTAGGGCTGCACTTTTCTTACCTGCCTTCCCAGCTATTTTTAACCCCTTAGCCCCTCACCCCACCCTCTGTGGCAGGAAGCCACCTTTGTTTCTCCCCAAAATCTCTGCTCTGTGACAATTTGATTAGGATGGGCCCAGCAAAGGAGACACACCTTTACCCTATCTCTTTAGGTAACCTGAGATGGATACATTCCTGAGGGAGGGGGGAAACCTGCTCCTTCTTCCTACATGACTGGTATCAGCTACCTGGGTGAGGGGCTTCTACCTGGTGGGCTAGAGTCTTCCCGGCAACTAGTGATGTATTTCAAATTGGTTGGCCAACAGCCAACAGGTGCTGGCCTCCATTGGACCAGGTTAACGAGGTCACAGGGGCTTTATAAGTTAAGACTGCCCAGGAGGAAGGGGTAGCAGCCACGTGGGGGACTCAGACTTAGAGAGGAGCCTTACCATCTGAAACTGGCTCTCTCCCCCATAACTCATGAGCTAGGAATGGCCTGCCTCCAGAGGGAATCTCCAACAGCCTCTGGATGGTGCTTGTGAGTAAGCTACTTGAGATCTGGTTAGATATCTAGCTGGCAGTAACTCAGATGCACGACCAAAAGGCTACCTCAGCCAGACTGTTTTGCTCTATGGGATTTCTATGATATTGCTCTATCTTGTACCC